TCGTTTTCATCTTCGCCTTGCTGGATGCTTCTCCCGAGGTGCGGTTTATGCTACTAACGAGACCAACGGCGGCAACACGACTGGCTCACGGGGATGCCCAGAGCGAATCTCGTCCGTGATTGTCGAAACCTTCAAATCACGAAACAAAATGCGGATGCCCAGACCAGTAGACAATCACCAGCAAAATGTGCACCTGCATAAGAAAACAGGATGGGGTGAGTGGCAGCCACACCGGTCGTAAGCCTTAGCGTGACTGTAATCGGTAACAAATTTAAGAGTCGTTCTCGAGTACGTCCGAATCTCCCTGCGTTTCCCTCTGGGGCTGATGCACGCTAATGTACTTGTCCCGCCTCCTCTGCTCTTAAAGAAAACCTTTCCTTCCTGTCTTTTGGAAGTGCTGCACGCGATAGATGCCTCACGGAGGCTGGCACTAAAATCAAATTCGTAACCTACGTCAGCGTACACTTGGTGCATTCATCGTTGCTCTCGGTACTAGTTTCGATCACCACTATTTAAACCCTCCCTGACGTGTCCCTCTACTTGTTACTCTGACTGCAAACTCGACCCGGGGTGGCGTAGCCTGGGGTTAATGCCCCCAAGCTTCTTCCACCAACCTCCGAATGTTGTCCACGCATTCTACTCAAGACAGTGTTTTCGTTCGCATCATGAACGTTGTATCCTTTCCGACGCCGGGTCAATGATGCAGGGGGCGCTAATCGCGGACACCGCGCCAGCGATAAACTGCTTTCTGACGCTTTGCATCACAGAGGTGAGGTATTTTTGTCGTTGTAGCTGTCGTCAAATATCACTGAAATCACTCTGAACATGAACTTTGCATATCCTCAAAATTGCCGATCATCCCCGCTGGTGTCCCTGCACGTTACTTGCCTAACCTATGTACGACAGATATTTGGCTTATACAACTTGGGTGGCGCCAAAATAACACAGAGAGGCCAACAATCGCCAGTCGTCCATAGGGTTGTGAGATTAAACCAGCTCAGACTTTTCTGGCGAGACCCTGCACGTGCGACGATGGAAACCACGTTTGTGCTTCTGAACGACTCATGGCGACGGAGTACCGTTTTCAGAGGAAAATTATCCTCTTTGGGGGCTCAACACTCTCGTTGAAACGCATCTCCCGTTGGCAACCTAAGGACAGAAGTTCAAAGCGACTTAGTAGGGTTGTGTTTGGCCAGCTCCAAACCTGGAGCCTGCGAGGGGACCAAGCTTTGGACGGTCACGGTAGCTCAGTAGCTCTGGTTCTATGAATGTTGCCAAAAGTGCTACCCAACCCTCAAGTGTTTGCATGATGGCTCACATATATCCTCGACCCCTGGGTGCATCACCACGCAGAGCCGTCCGCATCCACGATCTTGCCTTGAAGCCCTCTCACTGCTGTTTCAAGGGTGTGTGTCCGCAAAAACCTCGAACATATCTCACCGAGGGGCGGTAAACAATGAACCAAAAGGCAGCCCCAGACCCTGTCCGGTACCTGAGACGACTCTACTTGCAGCGCCCACTTCACGGCCATACTCTAGCGTCGAATTTCCGCATTATCTCTCTCGCGTCCATCAGATTTCGTTGCCTCTGGGGTTCTCCAGCTGCTATAATTCCGTCATCGTCAGCAAAACCCAGGCGAGCGGCCAGAAGCAGGGGCGACAACCGGGAGAAACGGCAAACGGAATCACGCCGCCGGCATACGGTGTCACAGGACCTGGTCGCAGCTCCAAAACGCAGCAGATCACTAGGCTTGCAGTTGTTCCGCTTGAGGAAAACGTACCGTGAGAGACCGCGGCGGTCAGTGCTGCTAACCAAAAGCCTCAAGGCGAAACTCATCTCGGCTTTACGCACCCAATGGAAGGCCTAGATTGGTGAAGTTAAGGTTAGGGATATCGCGCCGGAGGACTGTTGTTGTATTATCCTACTCGTATCGATCATTTCAGTAGAGTATTGGGATGAGTATAGCTGAGGTTTCCTGCCCATCTCGGCCAGTGGGCCACCCAAACTTCCTTGACGCCCTTGCGCCCCGGTCGACGTCCGAAGCTTCACCCCAAACTTTCATGTGCCCTTCTGGCAAAATTACCGCCGATGGCAAGCCCCGTACTTGCGCTTAAAGTCAGCCTGCAGCGGAATCTTGTCCGCGGCGTCAAAACGCGCTGTACAACTTCCTACGCTTGCCTTTTGCTGTGCCGCTAGTGGAAGCCCCAATGTAGTTGTCTACCACCCGCTCGGTCTGCCACCCCCAACTTTAATATCTCGTCGACGGCGGTACCCGCGGACTCGCTAGCGGAGCCTCCCACTCGAAAGAGTGCATCGAATAGTGGGTCGGGAGAAAAAAAAGCTGTTAAATCTGATTATTTTTCCCTTATCTTGGGTTCTGGCGAGACTGTCGGGAACGATCTTCAGAACGATGGCTTATATCAATATCTGTTTCCTTATCTCAGCAAACTTAGAGCCCCAGTCCGAAACTGTGTAATAATACGATGGGGGAAGGACTTGGATCCTGTGCTAATTCCACAGCCTTTTGGAATTCTACTTGGATGTTCGTTGCGGGAGAAAAATGATTCCCCCCTTCAAACTCTGCTTCCAGGCTGCTAGTCGAGTGTCACGGGCTTGTGCTTAGTTCCCGCACAATGATGAAAACAATTGGGTTAGTCTAGCCAGTAGTAAGTCTTAGGGCTGGCCATTAGTTGCATGTTAGGCACGATGTGTTCGTCGCTGGCAGCGATATATCCCACTCAAGAATGATCGAGGTGACTCGGAAGGTCAAGGCGATGCTGGTGGTTGGTGAAGGCAACGGTGGCGCACTCAGTAGGGGTGGGGGTGTGGGTAGGGTAGTCACGGAAGTTTGTAGCAGGGTCGGAGATGATGGGAATGAAGGAGGCAAAGGTTGAGTGCGGGGTAGTAGCACCTTCGGGGGCAACTTCAATCCGCCACACATGCCGTGTACACATCGACAACGGCTTCGGCGAGCGGAGACGCCAAGATAGAGGAAGACTGGGGTCTATGTAGGGCATGGTTGTGTTTTTGGAACGGAGCCATTCTTGGTTTACTCAGAGTGGTGATTTTCAACGTTGCACAATAAACATTTCGCCGAGAGTTCCTCTGGGACCTAGCGTTGTACGAATACTAGGGGAACGATTGGCCCCCCTCGCCCCCCAACGGGGAGGGAGGTCAGCATGCGTGGGATGGGCATGATGACCGCAAGAAGGGTAAACGAAGCTGGCTTAGACGATGTGAGGTCTACACGTCAGTTGCGTAGATCAGTGCTTCATATCTCTCCGCCAATTTGTCGCTGGGTACAAAACAATACCTGGTACCTGGTATAAAATACGGCCAAGAGGGGTAAACATAAACATTCTCAGAACCTCGATTATGAATGCCCGCTTGTGGCGAACAGCACCCACGGGGCCCCCGTGACCACTATTCCTGCCCACGCTTCTCGCGAATGGCGCGATAACCATGAAATGTGCCACGTATGTGCTCCCTTCCCCCCTTGCCCACCCACCACTATTTTCGAGCAAATTTGACCCAGGTGCCAGCGAGATATGCCATCTGGAGTGTATGGATGGCAGTACATATTTGATTTTGAATCGAACATCGGGCCGTTCTCTTAGTCTGCACGATTGGCCTTTCTGGGATTAATCGTACACGTATTGCGCCTATCCTGCCATAGCATGTGTCAAGTGTTGGTACGATAGGTGCACGATCATTTTAAACAGGAAACTTTGAATCGGCTTCATTCAGGAGGTGGTTACGTCGGCGGTAGAACGGCGCAGCTTGCCTCTCACGGCTGCCCATATGACGGCTGCCCTATTCGGGCGCTACGGGTGGCGAGCCTGCCCGTCATTTTCACCACGTATTCGTTTCGGGTAGGGGGTTCCCTTAGCAAGTCCCTTGCAGGGACAGCGGTCGACGACATCATGAAGATGGGAGGTTGAAAGACGGAGTCGGTGGCGAGATATAATATTGGTGCCACCACTAGCGCTCCGGCAAGCGGTAGCAAGAGGGAACGAGGCCAGAGTTACGCAGATGCTAGCGAGCGGCCTCCGTCTCCGGCGTTCCAGCAGGACTTCGCCGCGTGTACAGGTCAAAAATGCCCTACACCATTCTTGAGGTTTGCAGCGTATTAAGAAGATGAGGTCAGTCTGCAACGACCTGATTGTGGTCAAAATTCTGGTACTTCAACGGAGGCAATGAAACATGGGCGGGACCACAGGGCCGGCAGAGGAGGCCTCACCCAAATCCAATACTTTCATTAAGTGATCCTCGTTATGGAGGCAGAATACTACCGTGCTACAGTACCACAGTACTTAAATTGTTACATCCGGGGAGGGCCCAGAAAAGCAAAACAGGCTACACACCTCACATTCGTAGCAACATTCACCAAGATTAATGTAGAGGGTCTCGGCGCGGGATCTTCCAAACAAACCGTTTTCGGGCGATCACCTACTGTAGGTCAAATTGTACGCCGGGGGAAAGATCTCTCTGTGTTGGACTAGACTATATTTTGCCAACCCAGGACAAAGTGAAAAATGTCAAACCCACAATGATACACCTCTCCATTGCTCGCACCAGCACAATTCCCGCCACTGCTGTGTAGTCTATAACAACACTCACGCACAAGGTTGTGATGAAACATTTGTCGCATTTCACCGGTGTATTTGGAAGACAAACTTATCTCCAGGTCGACGCGGAAGGTCGATGACCTTTGATTACGACGATACACGCCCTATCAACAACGACCTGAAAAAACCCGACATAACGTCGATCTTTGCCACAGCATACACTTAGTTGAATACAAAACTATGGTGTTTTTGCAAGGTTCAGGGCCTACAAAAAAGACGCACCCGTGATTCTAGATTGGCGGCACAGCTCATGGAGAGGGTGAAGCTTTCGCGGACCCTTAGGAATAAATCCAGGTCACTACAACTCTTTGGCCCCTTCCTCCCCCTGCAAGAGGGCTACGGGCCCGGTATACCGCCAAAAGACAAAAGCGCTCAACCGCTCTCTCCAAGAAGCCACAGGCTGACTAGGGTCATGACGACCAGCATCCCAAACACTCTGGTATAGAAGGCCTCGGGCATCGTAACCCCGAGCCCAAAGGACACCACGGGCCACAGGGAGTGCAGGGCAAACAGGGCCGAACCGATGCAGCTTACCCACACCCATGGCTCCTCGTAGCTGCGCGCTGCCCAGTCGGCTGTGTTAAAGCACACGGCGATGGTGATGGCGACGAAGTGAAGGTACAGTGGCCACACGGGGCATTTACACTCCCAGGCGTTGGACGGGTCCTTCCGGGTGATGGTGCCCCAAACCGCGTGCATTACGGCGTAGATTTGCACGAAGGACGTAGCGAACCAGATCTGTTCGTCTCGCATCACCTACGAAATTGAAAACGGTTTTGACGGTGGGGACATGAGGTGGGTTTCCTACCGCGCACGACCAAGGATTCCTGACTGTGGGACCCTCGCACCTGTAGAAAGCCGAGGCGCAGCCGGCCCGCAATCAGGCAGACAGAACCCCGGCGAGATAGGGGGTCGATTCAACCCTGATTCTATGTACGAGTGGATGGGCCTGAAAGAACAGATCTCGCTTCTCTTACGGAGCAGATGCCACTCCACGCGTGAGGGACAGGTCGCAAGATCACATGATGAGTGTGGTTGACCCGAAAAAAATCGAACGTGTTCAAAACTACAATGTTCTCTCGAGAAGCAGGCTACGAACACCTCGCGACGCTTGGGGGAGTGCGAGCCTGGTCGGAAGGACCGGAACGCGCAAGTTCTCCCGTTTAAGGCAAATGTAGTGGATTCGCAAGAACCTACGGTTGGACCCTGCAGATGAAAAACTAGGAAACATTGGCCGGGCGCGTGACGAAACTGCACCCCGCCGAGAAAACGATACATTTGCTGACACAAAGGCGAAAACGCTGGAGACATTTTAAAGTTGAGATGGTTTCAAATCGTGACCCTACTTACGCAGGACCCGTGTGTCGGCGAAATCAGTCTCCAAAATGCACCCCGAACCCATTGTGTATTGTCTTTGCAAGAGATAGGGAATGACTTCGAAACATCGAATTGTCTAATGTTCTTCGTTGTCTGAAAGAAGCATTCCAGCAGGGGGTGGACTATTTTGAAGGGGGGGTGTTGAAGGCCACCTTTGCGGACGGTGTCTTCTGCCAGCCAAGTGCAGCAACGGTTGGGAGCACCCCCGTGATGATAAAGGGGAAGAAGTACAGGGCGAACTCGATGTTCCATGTGTTGAAGGGCGCCGAGTTTGTGAAGCCGTAGACGATGGGAAAGATGAGCAGAATCTCCCCAGCGAAGGCTTGCAAGAAGTAGCTCACGGCATCAAACGCGAAAACCTGATCGACACACACGGCAGAGAACGTATCGCAAGTGATTCAGGACAGGGAGAAACGGTGCCTTACAGGACACCGTGTGAGAGTTGCTAAACAGAGCATTTATTCGCTTGTGAAACCCGCGGTGGCCTAGGGTACATCCACAGGCGAACACTTATCTACGATTACACTCTTGTGTTCGGCTTCTACTGTGGAGTATGCACAAAATGCCTCTACAGGAGTGTTATCGCGGTCAGTTTGGCAATGTCCACGGACAGGGGCGGCCTGCAGGATTTGGAGGTGGGTGAAGCGCACAGAGAGAAGAGAGCGAAAGACTGCTCCGTGATCGATCGCGAACGTTTCAGACGGCGGCGGAGACGGCCACGAAAAAAGCTAATTCAAACGCACCAACACCGAGTATTCGTAGCCTACACTGCACTGCCGAAGTTTTTCGGTGGGTCGAAATATCAAAAGACCTGTATGAGCTAACAATCGTTTGATTGTGATCTCCCCTTGGAATAGCTGACGTCGTGATGAATTCTGGCTCGACCTTCCATGCGACCATGACAACAACGAACACTGATGTCATTTTGAGATGCAGTGTAGATATACTGTGGCTTCTCCATCACTGGCCTTTTGGAAGGTAGTGCCCCAATTTTCTCCAAGGACGGCATACCCCCAGCCCTTCCACATCGCGAGCTGAACCGCCCCTTGGTGCCACCTATCGTTTTTTTTTTTTTTCAGATTTTTGGAACAACAAGCTGTCGATCGCAGCCATGACACGAGCTTCACAAGAGGGAAGGATCAAAATAGAACATGCTGGCACTTAGGTTGAAGACTCTCCTATGGTCATGACTGCTTGATTTCGGCTTAAAAAGGCTTGGCGTTCGGTCAACTGCTTGGGTAAGCCATCTGATTAACTCTGGACGTTGACTTAAGGCCTTTCGGTAAGTGTTTTTGATGGACCAGGTGCGGTTACACAGGCGGAATATTTGAGATTCAATTCCCGTTCAACTTCGCTTCTGCGCTGCTTTTCTTAGTATATATTGCGAGAATGATAAGGCCCGTCGTTTCCCTCGTTGACCGTCAAGTCGAATTGTTTGCTTACTCACCAACTACCACACCACAAGCGATTCCACAGGTGCCTGGAGGAAAAGTATAACCAATCCCGGATCGTGTGATTGCTCCGAGCTCTTTACTCACTTCCCCAAATATCAGAAAGCTGCGAGGTCAGCGTCTAACCACCGAGTCAGCCAGGTGAAACGCAGCCGAACTTTGTCTCCTTTTGCATCTGTCCAATCACGAAGATTGACCTAACCTATTGTCCAGCGCCCTTCTTGAAAATTGCCTAGAGACACAAACAAACCTGGCGCTTCTAACAGCCGCTACTCACCTAAGGACCTGCTTCCAACGCCATTTGACGGTATCAGGAGGAAGCGTGCAGCATGCTAGTCTCTCCTGGACGGATGTGATGCACGAAGCAAAGTCAAGCAAAACAGACAGAAAGGTGGTTGTGCCCTGGTTGGAACACGCTGCTAAAATTCCTACATCGTTGCAACCCCAAAGGTGCGTGCCTTCACTGTAGTTCTTGCAGCCATTAAGTCAGTTGGAGACATTTTCGCGTGTCTCGATACGTCGATCCACATCCAGCATGTTTATGAGCATGTTTCTCGTAATCCTACGTTGCCATTTACTCAAGAGATTTCTTCACGACGAGACAAGCCACTGCCAGCCGGCGAGTAGAAACCATGTCATGGCCTCATACAAATACATCCTCAACTCTTCACCTCACAGCGCCTTCGTTGACAGCATGTGGAATAACACTCACGTTCGGAAAGTTGACGTACACAGACTTCCAGCCTTGCCTGAAGAGGTCGATGGAGGTGTGCGTGTCCTCAATCAGTACCTCCGCTCGGAAGCCGAGCCCTCCTTGTTGCCCGACCTGCCGTTAAATCCATGGTGAGGAAATCGAATGAGATGTACTGAATTGGAAAGTGCTTGAGACAGTTTTCCCTCCTTCGGAACATGTATGTTCTGATCCGAAAATTCGCACGACCCTGTGAGATGGAGTTCCCCATTGCTTCGAGAACTCAACGTTTGGCGTGGCTGGCGTTGAATCTGCACGTATGGTCGCAGAAGTGTCCTCACGCGAAAGATGGTGGAGAGCGCACACCCACAACCCTATGTCTACACATAATGAGGTCTGTACAGCACATACAAGATTCTCAACACACACACTGGATGTTGCGCAGAGCGGGATTTCGTTTCGCAAGGGCTGCGTGCGACCCGCACGTTACTCATTTCTGTGTATCTAGTACTATAATAGCATGTGCGATGAGCCTGAGGGCATCTTCTAGCACGACATGACCTTGTCTATGCTTGGAATGTACCTGATCCTCCGGCATGCCTTTCTTGACAAATTTGGTTCCGTCGGGTCGAATCCCATCTCGCAGCACCTTGAACACAACAAGAAGCATCAGAAGGTGGACGAACGCAAAAATCAGGACTAACAGTGGTGCTTCTCGCTGGCACGAATGGAAACAACGATGGCGCTTCCAGCAAAAAAGTACCGGGTTGATCGAGTGCATGCACGTCTCAAACGAGCACGTGCCCTTTGCCACGACGTCCACCGTCGTCCCGGAATGATTCGAGTTTGGGTCGCACAAGCGAATCAAGGAACCTAAACTTTTGCCGGATGTTGGGAACCGGCTAGGATGCATTTTTTCGGTCGATTTGTCCCTAGGTCAGTAAGAAGGGACGTTTCCAACTGAGTCCTGGGCATCCTTGCATGGTGATATACTTATATGTAGTTCCTGTTGAATACGCGACAAAGGCAGCAGAACCTGTCTTCGTTACCCTGGATTAATGCGCATGGTTCAACAGTCGAGAAGTGAACGGCCGGCCGGTGGCATCGTTATTGACGCAAAACCATCCATAGTTCATTTGACGTCACCGAAGCGTTTCGGTGACTCGAGTTATCGACTAAGGAAAATCATTGTGACCCTTTCGTGAACGGTGAATGGGGCCCTCGAAAAGCAAGTTGGGAGGCGCTCCTTATGGCCCCGCAAGGAACATATCATCTCAAAGTTACACCGCTCGTCAGGACACCGTGCGAATTATCTAGCACTCCGCCGGAAGGCGTTGACGACGAAAGCAACAACAACAACAACAACAACAACAACAACAACAACAACAACAACAACGTCATCAACGAAACAACGGTGATGAGGAGGTGGCCCGCGGCCTCACCTGCACCCGCCAGACCGAGCCCTGGCCGCAAGACAAGGCACCCCCCGCCCCGTCTCTCCCCGAGTTGACGATGTCGAACTGGGTGGCCGCTTGGTTCCCCAACGGGTCGGGGTCGTTCCAATCTGTCCGGTCGTGAAACCGCTGAGGTGTCTATATGATGGCGAATGAAGGAAGAGATAGCAACCCGGGTGGGGGAAGCTGGGCGATGTTACTTAATAATAACTTCGAGAAAATCGATTGTGACACACAGAGTGATGCCTGCATTAGTCGATTTATGACACGAAACACTTGGCATTTTTTCTTTTTGCGCCTTGCTCTGCCTCTTCAAGTAGCTGAAGATTTATTGTCTCAAGCTGAGCACATCAATGTTCTGTCAGACTGCTGGGTCTGGGTCAGCTCTCTCACTCAACGCAACGGCCGAGGTCGTTTCTTTGTAGCGGTACGAAGGATCGGCAAGGTGTTCTCCGCTGCACCCTGTACGAAGGTGAAGTACCACGCAAAGCTTCGCGGGACGCATGCTCTTGGTTGTGTGTCACGAGGACACCAAGCATATTCGCCCGTCGCGTGGACAACACCCACCTGTATGAAGGCGATGTTGGCCCACTTGTAGCAGCGGCGGGGCTTGTCGAACGTGAAGAAGTAAGGCACCGTTCTCTGCAGGAACTCGGGGTAGAGCTCGTGGCGGACGTCGTTAATAACGATTACGGCGGCCTCTCCGATGAGTGGCTCTTCCTGAGGGTTGAAGCTGAAAATAGCCCTGCATATTGTACGGCATGAACGTTGACAAAGAAAGCATGAAGATGACGAGGGTTGCAGTCCACAGGCGTGACGACAGCGAAATTGTGCCACAATCGTCTAGAATGGACGTTACTGACGGCATGGAAAGAGTCCGATTCTGCTGCAACACGACAGTGACTACACGCTCTCACCTGTTCATGTTCCCAGCCTTCGGGCTAATCCTCGGCTGGCCGGCGTCGATGCGGGAGTAGTACACGATGGTCGGGATATACTTATTGCGGTTCCACACCTGATGAATGAGGAGGAAGGCAGCATCAGGCGCACAACCGTTTTTGAAGAAATCGCACCACAGCGATTTTCACGGCAAGAGGTGCAGGTTCCGTTCCAAAACCGAGAAGAGGGGAAGTCGCAACGAAGAGTGCAGAACGACAAATCAATATTTTCGATAATATTCGTAAAAAATGGGTGCTTCGTGTACGACCGTGGTTGGTTCTGGTGAGTACTGGCCGACGTTGCTGTAGCATGGACACTAATACTTCGGAAAAGTCATCTGACGGCGTTTTTGGATTCCATTGGTTTTTCTTCCTTCTTAATCGTTACGAAAGACATCCTCACGAAAATCCTGCCTTGCTCGCTATAGCTCCAAATTCAAAGCGAATTGAAGCAACCCAGTGCCAACTTCTCTTAAGTCGGACCCTGCGGCTAAGAGAAAAGTAACCAACGACCAGTACTCTGAGATTTCAAGACGAGGGAACGGGGGGGGGACGGGAAAGGCAATGACTGTACTATAGTACCTTTTTCTGTCCAGGTTGGATTTCCTTCCGGTCGAAACAACTCGCTCTCCGGGCGCGCTCTTTTATCCTGGAGATGGCCACACTCGGCGAGAACCTGAAGCCAAAGGAGTAACGGCCCAGTCGTGACAACGTAACCGCTGTCATAAGTGATTCGCTCGCGATGAAACCGATATCATTGTGGGCCACATGCATATATCCAATCCTACATGGGGGGATCAAAACCCCCATGCGTCAATTGATTTGTATGTACGATTCGCCGAACATTTCGAGGTCAAGCGATTCGCGATCAGCACGTGTTGCGAGAGGTGGCTAACGTCCGAGAGACTTGCGTGTTCAACAAGGGGGAGAAAAGGCAACAACAAGAGAATCCCGAACAAGGACGGCACCGGCTAGTCCACCAGACAGTCGCGCCAGGGTACCTGGAAATGTTGTCGTCGTTCTCCGCGATGAGCTTGTCAATTTCTGACACGACCTCAATCCCCCGGATGAAGTTGACGTCGTCGTACATGCGCTGGCCGTGCTCCCCGTTGGCGAAGTGCTCGTAAAAACCCTTGGCGGAGATAGGCGCCACGCCCTCTCGCATGAGAATCTCACGGACGGTTTTGTCCAGGACGACCTTAGACGAGATGGACGAGCGAAGGGTTCCGTCCCGCGTGACGCGGTGAAATTTGGCGCAATTTTCGACTATTTCGTTAGGTCTACACGCACGCAGACTGTGCCTGAACGCCATGATGTACTGTGAGAGGAAGACGCGATGCTTTCGTGTTGCATAAGCTTCGAAATATATACACGGGCATGCCCTCTGAATGCGAATGAAACTACATATACATTTTCTCTGTCCTCATGGCCCTGGCGCCGATTTTCAAAGTATGATTGATTGAAGACTCTGGGTGCATGAAGGTGCAGTTGGGGAACCCGATAGCAAAAGCAAATAGTCACACCGTGACGACAAGGACGATCTCGAACGCCATTGTTGTTGACAAATGGCCAAAGCAAGGTAGACGAGCACAGCAACCGAATCGTCTCGGTCGAAGATGATTTCGAACCATGTCTAGTGCTTGTAGGCGCGTACTTTCCGAGAAACCTTGGTGCAAAACCTCCCATGCTAAGGAAACCACCGGTTTTGCCCCAATTGCAAATTAAGAATATGCAGAGAGTCAACTTGATCAAAAAGCTGAGACCCATCACATTCCAAAGGACAGATATAAAATGTGCAGGATACCGGTTGCGGTGTGAAAGACAATGTTTGGAGCTGCCGTTGGCTGCAAACGTCTACGGTCGCCTACAACCTGTAGTCGTGGGCGGCAGTGTTGGCCGAACAAGATAGCGTTATGGGAGGGGCAGGATTATCTGGCCCAAAGGGCTACAGTATAACTGTGCCTTGAAATGGTTCACCAACGTTACACCGCTCTGCAGCAGGATGCTCACCTCTGACAGGGTGTAGACTAAGGAGACGAGCTTATGCACCTCTTCTCGCCGTTTTTCGTCAAGGACGAGGATTCTCAATGTATCTCGTCGAGCATTTTTACTCTTCCAAAGCCTGCGAGCGATTTGAGAGAAGCGCCAGTTCAATGTAGGGATCATCAACAATTTTAGGAACGATCGAGCTACATAGATGTACTCAGCCCATTGCGTACCACGTGAAAACAACAACAACAGCAGTCTGAGTCACCGTGGGAAAATACACCCCAGACTCACACACAACGCTGATATGTGCGGATATTGCTCGATAAGATGTAAACCCTTATGTGTAGTGTCGCTGCTCTTGCCGCCCGACGACAGAGGATCGCCACAACTGTCTAAGAAGGAAGGGTAATAGACTCCTGTCCACGCGATCACCTGAGCTGTAAGTTTCCGAAAAGGGCCTTGAGCATGACGGCAGTCTTCTCCCCACACGTTGGGATGAGCACGGCCACCTTAAGCGCCCCAATTGCCTCGTCGATATCAGTCAGGTCATCCATGTATACCTGGGGATTGCCGACAAAACCCAAAATCAGAAAAGAGTATTTCAATATTTCCTGACTCTTTCGAAGTTTTTTTGACAAGAATCTAATGCACACCAAGAAGTGCACTAAGTCCATCTACTCGACCCGCTCGTTTCAAATTTCAGTGGCCCGCTTTACTTCCTATTTATCTGAACTATCGACTACGCCGATAGGGGCACCAGTGAGGGAAAAGGGGTATCCGAAGCGTTGCTGCAGACCCATCCAATCTGAACTCAGGATACTACCAGGTACACCCTCTTATTTCGCCAAGCACTCTGAAGTAGTTGCCAGCAAGAGGTCAAGCACTCACCTTCTCCCGGTGTGCTGGGAACGATCGCGAGCTGTGGCCTACTATCATGCCGATGGCCATGATGCACTCCGCACTCAGGAAGATGAACGCCCAGATGATGTGGTCGACCCCTTTCAGGGAGCGCGTGATTCTCCACCAGAGGTAGGCAGCCATGCAGAGGAGGTTTATCACGCCGATCGTGCGGATCCACCACGCCGAAGGGGCGCTCTCTGTGTGCTGGGGCTCAAACACGTGCCTCCTCCTGCACGCGTGCACAACGCAATATGCAGGTGTGCCGTCGTCGTCTGTCTAGGGTTCTGCTGCACCGTACTTGCGTTGGTCCTATGTTCCAGAAAACATGGGTTATCTCCTTCATCTCGTCGTGGGTACTTTCCTGGACGTTAAAGCCAAGTCCGATCTCACTCGTTCATTTTACTGGAGAACGTGGGTGCAACTCCAAACCGATGTGAGCACCAGAGGATGAGTTTTAGGTTAGTACGGGAACAGTTGGCGGACAGGGGTGGGCATTGAAACCAGAAAACAACTAGACATGTATGGCTGGCCGCGGCGGGCGAGAAATTCTTGAGAGGCAAATCGCATTCGTTCCCCGTCGCCTTTGGAAGACCTGTTTGCATGGATGGGAATTCCGCTTGGAAACCAAGAGTGAACTATCGCCCCCAGCTTGGAAACAGGATACTCTGCGCCCCGTGAAAACGAGACTCAGGCTCCGAATCCCCTCCGATTATTTTCGTTTCGGTTTCCGAGATTTGCGACGCAGATGTTGTGAAATGCAGAAGTGATTGCGGTGCGTGTTCTCCTACGCCATCTGGCGTTCGAGAGTGACTGGCCCGCGATCCGCGAAGGATTTCGAAAGTAAAGAGGGCGCAGTCATGCAACAGAAACATGAACGTGCTGCCAGGGTTCCACGGCTTGGATAAGAATGCGAGCTTGTAGCACGGCAAGAACCGAACTCTTCCCGTGGCATTGTTGAGGAGTTGAGTTGTGCACAGCCCTGCCGAGCCACGAGCGATGCGACCGATTGGACGCATGCTTACTCCACTCAAATACACAACCAATCAATGCGGGGAAACTCACCCACAAATGAATGAGAGTGACCTATTTTTGGGCCCATTACTCTTTCGTCATTTCCATCGTACCGCACAAGTAGCTTGGTAACACCGCTACACTTTTGCATGTGCATAGGTTCGATGCTGTTCGCAGAGGTATCGATTGGGCCAAAAACGTCACAAAAAAGCGACTCGCGGCTGACCACTGCCTCTGTTTCACTGGTAATGAAAGCGTTTTTCGATGAACAGACGCACCGAGACCTCTCCCATTCTCTCTCCTACCCCCTATACTATATCTCCTCTTACTCACCGATTATAGAAGTGTGTTTCATTCTCGGAGTGATCTGAGCCACTGCTATTTTCCCCGGCGTCCTTGCCGCCTTTCTTGGCGCTTTTTCGCCGTCCGGTCTCGTGGGTGCTCTGCTTGCGGTCCTACGAGAATACCGATCGGAGACAACACGCGCCGAAAGTTGTTGCGTCTTTGTCGCCATCGCATCTCCGGTTTGCCTTGAACATGGTCGACGGGCGAATTTGACTACGTACCCCACCACAAAGGAAACGCAACGCTGACAAGCGATTTGAGGTCCCTCCTGGAGAACTAACAACGGTTAGAGTGGCATTTGATATTTGCATGATCGTATAGGCTCTTTTGTTTACCACCCGAGATGTTCCTTTTTTCTGGTAGGGCCAACATCGAAGATAACATCGGTTGACATACGGGTAGCGGGGCTCACCCTTTGAACGCAACAACAACGACCAACGATAGTCCACTCCCTCCACTCCCGGACTCACCCCGATTGCCACGAGTTCAAATCCCTGCCCGTTGTTGCCGTGGATGCTGATTCTCCGAGTTGCCTTTGCGGCGGCTTCGGCCATTTCAGTTGCCCGCCGCCCAATGTCTTCCAAGAAGCTGGGCCGCCGTTGCTCTTTGTAGACCTGAGTCGCCATACAAGGAGCGGGGGGCGGGGGGGGAGGGGGCAGTGGCTGGCATTAATGTACTGGTTTCAGGTTGATCAACTTGCTCACCTTGGCACGAATACCTAGAAATGTTTTGGAGTAGTTTTGAGGATGTTTTCGGCACACCTATTTCAACGCAGTCCCTGGAGGGAGCTGCACAGAAACCGGAAAACTCAAGCCTTGTCTCTCTCCGCCAGAGAAAGAGCACGGATTCGAAGGCAGCACGTGTGTGTACTAGTTGTGCGCGTGGATGCAGCGACTAGCCATGCCCAAGGATGTTTTTCTCTCGGGGGTAGCGATTTGTGAGAACCGGCATCGTTTGCTCGGGTGCTATTGTTCAACATCCTCAGCAGTTACCAACCCCATCATCCGCGACAAAAAAAACACCGAAAGTTGCCCCCACAAACTGCCCGACCCGCTGTGCTTTGAATTCGAAGGAGAGTACACCCACACTGAGGTCGCGACTCTCACCTCTCCCGTCTTGTCGGATCGTAATCCGCCAAACGTCATCCGCCGCTTAGGAGCACTTCCCGTCGAAACGACCGGAACAACTCTCGCCGCGTTGTTGTTCTTCTTGGACGACGAACGAGGCCCTTCGATCTTTTTCGTCCTCGTGTGGTCCCCGGGGCGATGGCCCGCCGCCCTGTTGTTGCTATCGCCGTCCTCGTCCCTGTCGGCGTCGGATTCGTCCGTCGTCGAGTTGTAGCTCAACTCCGACGCCGTTTGCCGATGCCCCCCCCTACCGCCACCACCGCCTCGGCCAATGACGTGCGGCCTGAACATCCCCGCGTTGTTCGGGGTGAGGATGGCCTGCGCGCACCGCCAACATGAAGGAAACACAATGCGGCGATCAGACATCCTATATGTAGCGACTCTTCCTATTTTCCCTGAGGACACCTCTCGCTTGGAGGTGAAGGGGTGGCACCTGAACCGCCGGACCACAAGCAAACCTATCACTTTCACAGCGGGTCCTATAAGTACTTGGGCCAAAATTGTTGTTGTTATTGGGCTTCTTTTTTGTGTTTCAGTCAGCAATTTCATGTTTTTCTGCTCGTTTTCGAGCCTGTGAGTTTTTTGTGTTTCTTCTTGGCGTTGACTGTTGTTTAGGCTTGTTAATTTCATCCTTTTGACATGAAGATTCCCGTCCGACTGGGGCAGACCGCAGGGGCTTGATTACTCGATCGTCCATGCCTTTGGGTTGCCTTTCACAACCCTTCCGACCTTTTAGTCCTAGCTCCTACACGTCGCCATGCATGGAAAGGACCCTGCATGCCGCTGTGCTCGGACAGGTTCGAGATCGCCGTTCATGAGATGGACTCTCGAGATTGTTGCGCCGTGGATAGGCTCTATGTAGGTCGCTGTTCTCTCCCCTGACTCTTGTGTAGCCCGAAACCGTGGCACACCGTGAAGAGATGGGTCTGTCAGCCCTCAGACTTTGAGACCACGAAGAGTTATTTTTACGGGTAGGAACGCCCCACCCTTCCGCGCGACAGCAGTTGGTAGCCCTGCGTGCTCCAACAACCCCCCTCCCTTTCGACAGAACCAATCGGGACAAAACAACATATTCCATAGAGACCAGAGCCGAAACGTCAGCCTACCCTGCACGAGAGACATATCTGTACAAGACCTTGTACAGGAAGAATGCAAGGCAAGAAGAGCACACAGCGAAACGAAGGATCCACAGGCCAACACGTGGTCACCTGAGCGGCCGTGTCCGGGTCCATGAACTGAGACCTGAAGTGCAACATGTTCACGTCCACCCTCAGCCCCGGCTCGCCGGAGTCAACTACGCCGCCGTGCGTCGCCCTCCTCTGGAGCACAGAACCCCCTCCCCCTCCCCCTGTTGTCCCCCCGAGGCCGCCCCCGTCCGGAAAGACCTTGCGAGGGAACCCGAATCTATCGAACATAGACCCGCGTGGCGGACCCTTCGACGGCTTGCCGCTGTCCAACGGGCTGACGGCGCCGGCACCGGTTGTGGCCCCGTGGCTTCCGCCCCCCCCACCTCGCCCTTGTCCTGGGCAGGCTGCTGCTGCTACTGCGGTGGTTGCTTGTGAAGTGTCGGTCGCCGCGCGCCGGTAGGCCTCGGATCCGTGGGGGGTCCAATCGAAGCCGGTCAGAGATCTGACCTGCACTTGATCCCTGACCAACGATTAGTGCAGGAACAAATCAGACTAACAAGAAGGCTTCGACGTGGTGGTATCATTATAGTTGTCGTTCGTCCTTGTTGATATCGCCGTTGTCTAGTACTGCTACTGCTGCTGATGCTACTGTTCCTCGGTGTAAGACCATAGATTATTAGGAGAGAATGGACATGAGTTTGCCAAGCTTGCCAGCGACTCACTCAAGATCATTATTGACGATTCGCGATGAGATCATGACCCCCCGCATCCCTTTAAAGCTGGGGTAAGGCACATCGGGTTCACTTACGAGAGGCAGCGAGGGTATATTTATTGCGACTCTTACCTCGTCGTCCCGTCTTCGAAACCAACCAGGTACGAACCGTTCGGGTGCGCCGTACGGATAACTCCGTTATGGGTCTGCGGGGGACCTGCTCGAAGACCCAGCGTTAATCGAAATTGTACCTGACAAAACGCGATTCGAGGGGTAGAAGGGGGGGAGTAAACACCTATGAACTTGTTTGGAACACGCGAGTCATGCGTGACGGGTGTAGAAGCTAAACAAAGGGGGGGGAAATTCGAAGGATAGAACGAAGCAATCCCCATTTTCGATCATGCTAGAGAAAAGCAGATACATAAAAAGCGCCAGAGCGGAAGAGGTACATACGTGGGGGTCTTCAAGTACCCTTCCCGACAATGACAGCAGCAACACAAAACAACAACTACAACCACTATAGCTACAACCACTACGGCAACAGCCTGCAAACCTGATCCCCGACGGCGAACGTGTCGCCTCCGAGGCTCCCGACGTCAAGGTCGAGTATGCACCCGGTGGAGCTCAGCCGTGCCCCGGCGGACAGGGTCGAGGGCTTGCCGTCGCGGCTGCGCCCGGGCTTAACATTAGGGCGGCGAACGTCCTTGAGGGGTATGCTGGCGCCGTGCCAGCCCTTGTCGAAGTTGACGGACACCCCGTCCTCCGTCGACGTTACCACTCCAGGGTAAAACTCGGGCTCTCCGGCGTACCTTTTGGTGGTGGGGCAAAGAAAGTAAGAACAGGATACAGAGACAACAAATGTGCAGGGGAGACATAACAAACCCGTAGACAAGTTACTGGGAGGATAGCGAGGTACAGAAAGGGTACTTTGGAAGGGCACATGGAGGGTAAAGAAGCGTCATCGGGTCTCCACGGGACGACTGGTGCTTTGCAATGTTCTTGTCGTATCTTAGAACAAGCAAACATCACAACGAGCGACAACGCTACGCATCAACACTACCGAACCCCTCGCGCCGTTTAGCAAGCGGTCTGTCACCTGGCCTCTACCCGATCCCCGACGGCGAGATCCCCGAGAGCGAGTGGAGACGACGACGACCCCGGTGACGACGACGACATGGGTGACGGCGAAGACGAAGACAAAGACGAAGGCAACGACAACGATGAAGACGTCACGGAGGGCTTCCCCTTCCACACCACCCGCACCTCTCTCGCCGACCTCTGAAGCAACACGCTGCCCGTCTCTAGCTCGACGTCAGCGCTGCCGTCCTCGTGGACTCGGCGTACTACACCTGGCGCAAACATCGTCGACGCCTTTCCTCCTCCTCCTCCTCCACCACCACCACCACCACCACCAGCAACTACTACTACGACGACGACGACGTCGTCGTCGTCGTTGATGATGATGATCCTGCTCCTGCTCCTGCTCCTGTTGATGATGATGATGACGACGAGGATGCCGCTCCTCCTCTTCCTCTTCCTCCTCCTCACGGCCGCCGCCGCCGCTGCCGCCGCTGCTGCGCCGTCTCCTCCTCCCCTTCTGC